CGCCGGCAGTTTCGTTTTCGCCCGTGCGGGTTCCGGTCGAGACTAACGATGGTTTGGATGAGAGGGACTGTGTTGTTGAGACCGGTGTGGATGTGAATGCGGTTTTGTTGGTGGTTCTGAAAGTGTTCTTTGTTGTGGTTTTGGCTTTAGGGACAAAAAGATTGACTGTTGGGATTACAATATCGGCTTTTGTGTTGTTTTTGCTGGAGTATGTGTGTAAACATGCTCCTGCCGTGTTGAAACCTTGTTCAAGGGCCAAAGGGGCTTTGAAAACCATAGTCGTTGGAGTTTTGAAGTTATTGAGATTCAAGGAGGTTAATCCGGATGAAGATAATTTTTCGAAGCTGGGTGGATTAAGTTATGAAGGTCAGAAAGAGGTTGAGGATTGTAGTCGGTATTTTGTTAAGAACGTGCTAGATGAAATTCAGCTTCAGCCCGAGGATGAGATGATCGAAGAAGGTTCTTGTCAAGAAATGGAATTCAAAGAGGCTGTCCCGATGGAGAAAGAAAAATCGAAGATGAAATCGAAAAAGTTTAAGCTAAATTCAAAGATGAAGAAATTCATCCCGAAGAATTAAGGGGTTCAAGAAAAGTACACCAGCAGCAATTGCAAAGGGTTTTGGAGATTGGTGGAGAAGAAGATAATGGTGATTTATCGTGTGGTGACATATCATCGTCCTCTGTTTCTAGCCGAGGGTATGAAGAAAAAGAGGTCGATAATATGAGCACTGCACTTACTTTGTGTGAACCAACAACAAAGAGAGAAGAGGGTAATACAATCGAAGGTGGAGGATTATTAACATTGAAACATTTAGTACTACTATGTGTAATTGTTCTTGCTGGCCTAATCGAGGGCCGAGGATTCGCAGTTCTAATCGTGCTCTCGTGGTTCTTGATGTTGAAATTGGGTGAAAAATTACCTCAACCTTTTCTCATTGTGTTTTATTAGCATTGTGATGTGATGCTTTTGGTTTGGTGTGCTTCCTTTTGTGTGAAGTTCTCTTTCACTGTGCAAGATTGATTTGTCTTCTGAAAGTGTTGAGGGTTGAATAGATGATAACGGAATGTATGCTATACTGCCCCTTTCGTTGGACCTGTAAATTGTATAGAAAGTTATATGTTAATGGAGTTGAAAGCTTGTGATCCCAAATGTGTTCTACTTTGAGCTTGTGACCCATATGTTTCTTTTGTGATTTTCAAGGGATCAAAGTGTACTATTGAGATGGTGCTTTTGTGATTTTCAAGAATAAACGGGTCGGGTCGGGTCGGGTCCGGTTTTGGCAAACTCGAACCTGGGCTGCATATAATTTACCCTACCCGAACTCGACCCATTACCCGATTAGTGAACTCGAGTCATTGGGTCTTCGTTGGATAAACAGGTAACCCGAATTCTTAAATTTGGGTGTTATCAGGTTTCAACACGACCCAACCAGCTTCATGTGTTAAAAATATATAAAATAATTTCACATATAATTATAATGTAACTAACAATTTATTAACTAAGTTTGACAATAAAATGACTAAAATTCTATATTATCTTTGGAATAAATATTGAGATATAATTATTTATTTTTTTATAGTCTAGTTAATAATGTCACATCTAAAATTAAGTATTTATTTGTTTTTTGTATAACTAAAAGAAAAATTGATAAAAAATAAAAAAAACAAATTAAACCACTAAAAATTATAATAAATAATTTTAATTTTATATTTTTAATACGATATATATACATAATTATATATATAATTATATATATATATGTGTGTGTATAAGATATAATGTTTGCGGGTAAACGTGTGAGTAATCGGGCTTGGTAACGGTTTTTGTATCATACCCAAACTCGACCCGACTCGGTGTTCGGATAGCATAATTCTATCCGACTCGACCCGAAACCCCATCATCTCGAGCTTACCCGATCCGAAAATGCAGGTAACCCGCACGTAACCCGACCTTGTGGATTTTATTGACATGCCTAAGAATCTCTTTATCTGTTTTAGGTTAAATTGGTGAAACCTTGGGGTTTCTTTTGTAATTTACCCCTCATTGAACTCTTGGGGTGAATTTTAACATATTTAGCGTGTACTACTATTTTAAACATTGGATCAACACATACTATGTGCATAAGAGCATTTTCAATGGTATATAGTCCATTTGGAGATGTACAACAAGGAAAAAGAGAACTACAAAATTTTGTCTCCAATAGTGAATGTCAATTTTTGTATAATTTGACATGTGTAACATTATAATTAGTTGGGGATTATATGTCCTCTCCTCCTTATATATAATTCCCGAATGCGCTGAGCCTACGTGGTTGCTTCTGCTGCTTCGGAATCTTACTTGGCGAAGAATCATGCTTCGCAATTAGGTTTGGACAAATAATATTGATATTTTAATAATTAATAATCTAGATTCAGACGTTCCATAAATATTATTTAGCTAACTTAGATATTTTAATATCACTTCTACTATTATAACCCTTTTATTATTTGTAATTTTACATAGTGAGACACTAAGTGACTAATATATCCCTGACTTTTGATTTGTTTCCTTCAATAAGCTATTGAATTGTAAATGTATTTTAAAAGTTGATAACTTTTGTATTTCTTATCGGTTATATATATATATATATAATATCAAACTAATCATCTTTTGATGATTTTCGATTTGACATTCATATTGTATATATGAAATAAATAAATTATATTTATCTTTATAATTATAAAAGTAACAATATTTATTAAAATTCATTAGAAAAATAAAATTTAATGTAGTTATATGTTGTAAGTTAAAATAATTATTATAATTATTATAATATGACACATGTAAGTCGCAAAAATCATACTAAATATATAATAATATATATTTTTATAAAAGATATTTAAAATTTCAACTACTTTTTTATCATTAATTTTAGATTTTAAGAAAAAATTAGCAAACACCCGTATAATACACGGACGTTGTACTAATATATTTAATAAATAATAAGAAAATATAATAAAAGATGTCTAAAACTACTTCTAGACATATAAATGCTTATAGACATATTGAATGCCACATGAGATTAATTATGCCACATGGCAGTAAAAATGAGCAATCCATGAGCCATTGGAGATGCTCTAAGTGTGTGTCATCGGACAGTAAAAAGTAACCAGAGATGTTGTAATAAAAGGAACATATCCCCTGTGGGGGGCACTGCCCACAAGTAGACAGCCGAGCCTAGTTCGAGCCTCGGCTCGCTAAATAAACGAGCTTGAAATCGAGCTCGAGCTCAGCTCGTTTATCACTAATAACGAGCTGAGTTCGAGCCTTAACAAGGTTATCTCGAGTTTTAACTAGTCGAACTAGAGAAAATTATATGAATGTTCGCTTTCCGAGCTTGAATGAACCTTATTAAACCAATTCGAGCTCGTCTCATTAACCAAACGGACTTTAAATGAACTCGAACGAGCCGATCTCGAGCTAGGCTCATTTTGTTTAACAGCACTACCCACAAGTAGGGTTGTAAAGATTTTGGAAACTTGTGGAGTGGTTGTAAAGTTTTTCTTTTGCTTTTTCATCTTCACATTTTTCTCATGGCTATGTTATCTTTTGTTGTTTTGGACAATAAATTAGTCTGTTTTTGCTTTTCTCAGGCTAGTATCACCCAGTACCACACTACCGTGTGCCCTGGCACACCTAGCTAGTTTTGCCAAGGCACATTTGCACGCGCCCCCTTACTCCCCAAAACTCTCCAATACTAGAGAAATTTGAAGATTGTAGTTCACATCCCCAATTTTTCTTTTTAATTGAAAAATGAGACATATTACATAAATTAAAATATCATTAATTATTTATATTAAAAAAATAAAATAAAATACTAAAATTCATAATTTTTCATTATCTATAAATAGAGACCACATTTGATAGGTTTTTAAACACAACTAATTTTTCGTTTTTTCATAATTTTTCATAATTTTTCGTAATTATTTTATTATACTGACATATAATGAACATGTTACATAATAAAATAAATATGTTTTCAAATATGATGAACATGTTACATATTGTAGATTGAAACAATACATATTCATCTTATTTTGTAACATGTTCATTTTATTGTGTATGTAACATGTTCATCTTATTCTGTAACATGTTCATCTTATTATTTAATATGTTCATTTTATTACGTAACATATTCACCTTATTGTGTATGTAACATGTTCATCTTATTATATAACATGTTCATTTTATTATGTAACATGTTCATCTTATTCTATAACATGTTCATTTTATTTATGTAACATGTTCACCTTATTGTGCATGTAACATGTTCATCTTATTCTATAACATGTTCATTATATTATGTAACATGTTAATCTTATTCTATAACATGTTATTTTATTATGTAACACGTTCATCTTATTTTAGAACATTTCCATCTAAATTTCATCTGTGAAAATGTAATATTTTCATTTTATTCTATGACATGTTCATCTTACTCTATAACATGTTCATCTTACTATGTAACATATTCATCTAATTATAGATTTATGTCATAATCTTCCAATAAGATAAATTAATTATAAAAAATGATAAATTAATTGTTTTAAAAAATATCAAATGTGGTCTCTATTTGTAGAGAATGAAAAATTATGAATTTTGGTATTTTTATTTTTATTTTTTGATACAAAATATGAATGATAATTTAATTTATATAATATGATATATGAATTTCATTGCCAATAGAATTAAGACACATGTCCCATTAAAAAAAAAATCCTTACCTACTTACCCCACGCACTTTTGGAGAAGGTGTATTTCACTAAAGGCCCTGACACACCTAGCAAAGTATGCCAGGGCACACCTAAGTATTTGCGAGTATCACCAGTATGGTCTCCCAAGCAATTTGGTACTTGCATTAATAAAAGCTGAAAAAAAAGGTTTAGCTCTATGAATTGAACTTTTTAACAATCAATGTAGTAATTATTTAATGAATTGAAAAAAAAAAGGTTTTTCTCTGATTGAACTTATTAAATCACTATCTGATTTGCAATGCACCTTCCATCATTGTGTTGATAACGTGTTGTAATATAAATCGCCACACAAATATGAAAGAAAACCTAAATATGTACATTAGACAAAGAGAACAAAAGTCGTAAACTCGTATCTTTATTCATCATATCAACCATATGTACAGAGTTATTACATTAACTATGAGCTAATGAGCTTTACATATGACACATATATTTTGGTAATTTCCACAACTGAATGCTAGTATATTCTTGGGGGCATAGTAAGTAGGCCATTTTTATTTTATCCATATATATAAAACTTTGACATTTACTACATATAATATGTTTCTTCACGCTAATAAAAATATTGGTTACTAAATAAGGAATATTTTTAAATATTTTTTTTACTCTTTTATTTTTTATTTGTTTTTGGTAATTTTGTTTGTACCTTCATGGCGAGAATTTTATTTTTATTTTAGATAAATATGATATCAATAATTGATATAAATCTATTGATTAATTTCAAAAAACTTTCTATTTTTTTTTTATTTTTTTTTTATTTCTACCTAGATTATTTTTATCAATAATTTGAAAAATAATTTTTTTATAATTATAATATTATTACAATCGTTTTTCAAACAAATTTTATTTAATTTTTTTGTGCTCGAGCTCAACTCAATTAATAAAGAAATAAGCTTTCGAACATTTGTTCACGAACATTCGAATTAGTTAAAAAACAAAAAAAGGAACAAAAAACTTGCTATAAATAGCAAGACAAATTAACCGCCATAGGTTTTGTGATTACACACACCAAACGCAAGAACCGGTGGCGCCCTTTCATTCAGCACAAACAGAGTTAACTGCCATTAATTTTGGCCAATTTTTGGCGCTAAATTATGTGGACCCCACATCCCTATCTCATACGGAGCCGAGGAGAATATCATCTCTAGAAAGTTCATTTTATTTTTTCACACACGCAAATTATCAAACACTTGATATACATTAGAAAAAAGAACATATTTTTGGTTTAGTTTGAGGCATTGTTTCATTGGCACTGTCCTAAAAGGTACTTTTTCTACCAATTCACCTATTTTTGTGCTTTTTTTTTTTGTTTTGATTTTATTTTTATGGTTTGTTTGATGTTACATTTGGGAATTTTTTCTTGTTGCAATGGATCATATCATGGCATCATGTTATGCCCCAAAGAGAATGTTCTCTATTTTTTTTTTAGTCTTTTTTAGGGAGAATGGTTTGATGTTATGATTTCTTATTGTAACGATTATGCGATGTTTTCGGTTGATAGGTTCGAAAAATGTGTATATTTTATATACGCTTGGTTAATCGCACGCCTATGCCGACATTTTTCGATCATATTACCACTTTTATGCTCTTTTTTTGCTTCAAATTTTTATTTTTGTGAAATTTTGATGTTACATTTGGGAATTTGTTCTCGTTGTGAAGAATTATATCATGTAATGTTCCAAACAGAAGATCTCTATTTTCTTTCTCTTTTTTGTGGGGAAGAATAAGTTT